GGGGGGGGGAATATAATATAGTGGTTTTTTAAAATGAGGTTTCCATTTGAGGTCGATTCTTCTGCATTTCAAGATACAATTTTGACTTTAAACGATTTTTGTTTGTTACCACAATGTTTCTGGTAGTAAAGGGGTCATATGGAAAAGGTGGGGTGGTTTAGTTTTAATAAGTGTTTTATGGCACTTGCAAGACAATAAGGTCATATAACTGCCGAAGAATAGATGTGTTACAAGAGAGTAACACACACAAAAAAGAAGGAGGAGAGATAAGGACGATAGATGTTTGGTAGTAAAGAAGGAGCAAACCACACACATAGCACCCACCACCCAACTAACAACAAAGGTGGGGTGGGGTGGGGTAGGGTAGGGGTAGAAATGATCCATAGTCAGTAAAAGCACAGTAGATAGGCAGACAGTCAGACTTGCAAACAGACAAGGTTGCAGCATGAAATAAAAAAGCACACACAAAGATGGCAGACAGGCTGAAGACAGAACATAGGTAGATGGGTGGAAGAGTGAACAAGGTAACAAATTATCGGGGGTGGGGGGTGGGTGGGGGTAGATGGACGAATGGGTATGTTGATGTAATAATTCATTAATTCATGGATAAGAAGATGGACTGGTGGATGGACAGAAGGATGGATGAGCTCGCGGATGAAAGGGTGGGAAGATGGCTGTACACAAAACAAAAATGAAACATGAACAGATAACATGACTTCGTGAAGCTGTTCATGAGGGTGTATGAAAGTGACAGAGAAAAAAAGTGTGAAAGCATACCACCATGATTGACTACCAGACAACAGCAACAACCAAAAAAAACAACAACAACCCACGAAAAACAAAAAATAAACCTGACAAAACAACAACAGCAACCTAGGAAGACCACTTACTGATCTCATGGAAGACTGGGTGTTCTTGTTTATCGCCTCATTGCTCTGGGAAAAGAAAAAAACAAAACAAAACAGGTCAATGCAATGTTTCGGGACTGTTTAGTTGGGTTCTTTTTTTCGTTATATATGCAGGCAGATTGTTCCAGTACGCTGCTACACTTTAGGTATAGAATTTAGAGAAAAGGTTTACAGTACAAAGAGTCAGAATGGCAAGATCCTTGTTTCGACAACAAAAGATTGAAATAAAAGAGACAATGGTAAAAAGTTTAAAATGTCAAAAAGGCTGACGAATCTCAAATTCCGCCAAGGACGTGCTCATTAATTATGCATGTAGGTGCATTACACGTATGTGATAACTAGCAGACATTGTAAAATGTGTAGAATTTTACGACTGTTCTAACAATTTAGACTTGTTTGGGACCAGATGGCGATTACTGTGGGAGAGTATGTGTGTTGTGCAGTGTGTATATATATATATGTGTGTGTGTGTGTGTGTGTGTGTGTGTGTGTGTGTGTGAGTGCACGTGCGTGTGTGTGTGCGTGAATATGTATGTGTGTGTGTATGTTCAAGCGTGTGTGTGTGTATGTGTGTGAGTGGTGTGTGAGTGTGTGTGTGCGTGTGTGAGTGTGTGTGTGTGAGAGAGAGTGGTGTGTGAGT